TATGGAAAGAAACCAAAGATCGATTACAATTATGTAAACTGGTTGTACAAAAACCGTTTCTTGTTGCACAAATCAATAAACGAAACCCTGATGTTTCACACGTCACATGTTTATAACGGGAGGGGGGCCTATCTTACTCTGAATAAAACAGTGTTGTAAATAGGACATTACAACCCCAGGCGTACATTGATCCTCGTGTTTGATTTCCCTATAATGTCCAACGAGACGTCGTTCAATAGATTATCGTTACTAACGTAGCACTCGTCACATAGTAACGTATAATGTACCACCTGTATGCTCTAGTTTACAAATGAACAAGCCCTGACTGATCATTGACAATGTTGTGAACATCTGAATCAGGGATAACACAAATTATTGCAGGAAGTGTTGCGTGATGGCAATCAGCTGATGGATCCCAAACATTCAGGCAATGTAGCATTGCTTGCACGTCATACTGTATATTCCTCATGCGTTTTTGATAGCTGAAATGATGTTTCATAAAAATACATGGACATTTAACTCGAGCCTGTTCAGTGAAGGTATATGATAACTGTACAAGTGTTAAACGTTTAGTTAGTAATACAAATATATTTCCTGAATGTTTAGTGAAGGTATATGATAACTGTACAAGTGTTAAACGTTTAGTTAGTAATACAAATATATTTCCTGAATGTTTAGTGAAGGTATATGATAACTGTACAAGTGTTAAACGTTTAGTTAGTAATACAAATATATTTCCTGAATGTTTAGCGAAGGTATATGATAACTGTACAAGTGTTAAACGTTTAGTTAGTAATACAAATATATTTCCTGAATGTTTAGTGAAGGTATATGATAACTGTACAAGTGTTAAACGTTTAGTTAGTAATACAAATATATTTCCTGAATGTTTAGTGAAGGTATATGATAACTGTACAAGTGTTAAACGTTTAGTTAGTAATACAAATATATTTCCTGAATGTTTAGTGAAGGTATATGATAACTGTACAAGTGTTAAACGTTTAGTTAGTAATACAAATATATTTCCTGAATGTTCAGTGACACCAAGTGATGTGCCTTGACTGTCAGTCTCAGGCTTAAAAGTCTAAGTATGAATCGCGTGGGGATATCAAGAGACAATAAACACAATTACAGAGGACAAGTAGTGTGCGTGAGACTTATCGGCAGTTTCCGTGGTCGGTAAGAGATCGGAGATTGGCTGTGATCTATAAAATGACAACGGGTTGTCGCTTTCCAGCCCTGATAATAGCCTTCCCAGCAAAATAACCTACGTGGCTACGAGAACTTGCTGCCATCTTGTCTCCACAACGAGATGTGGAAATGGACTGAATTATTATTTTGTTGGTGTCATGCCACATCAGAAGTTCCTACAATACTGGGGGATATCTCTGCGGTAATGAAAATGGTGTTGTGACACCTCCGTGCGGCCTTCATGCGTAAACTCAGACCTTTTAATGTTAACCCATCTGTGATGTCATCATTTTACGCACCATTTATTCAGAGTTTTAACATTTTCCTTCCAATGTTGGTACGGGTTTCTCTCAGTTCATCTTAAATCTAAAATAGACAAAATTGTAAACACTGCAAGTAAAATCGCTGGAGTCAGATTTGAATGTTTATCGTCAATATATCAGCGGCAAATCGTGAATCAAGCTGTCAAAATTATATCTGACCGTACTCACTACTTAAATTCGGAATACAACCTCCTCCCTTCAGGCCGCCGCTCTTTTTGAGAGCTTGTACATCCTTTATTCCAAGTACCATATCTCTTTTAAACAAATCGATGAATTTATGTAAATATGTTTTGTATCTCTCTGATGTGTCAGTAGCTCTGCTGATGTAACACAAATTCCTGAAAAGGCGTTAAAATATTATTCTATTCTATGCTATCGCCTACAGGACAACTAGCTAGCTGTCATGGATCTACCTAATATATAGCTGCACAATCTCATTCCATCCAATAATAGACTTGGACTTTTACTTTGACTCCCTGGGTTTTGTGCCCTAAATAAGTTTGGATGCTATATACGCCGACCATTTCACAATTCAGCAACGTAAATTTAGCCTTCTACAGGTTCGTGACCAGCACCTCAACTAGAAAGTGGCATGGAACCAACGAGACACACATAGTATCCATCATTTAGACATCATCATCATCATCGTCGTCGTCGTCATCATCACCACCACCACGTGGTTTGTGATTCTGACACTTTATCTCTCCATGTGGTGTCAGTCTAACTCAGCGCTAAGAATAGTGACGCGTATGTGAATCACCAAGGTTGTCAATCGTTGTTACTGTCGCTGTGCCGTTTTTCTTTCCTGTTCTTTATTTTTCAAGATACGAGAGTTTTGTAAAAAGGACCCCTTGGCTCCTTTGTATCTTGCCAGGAAATTGTGTAGGAAGAATCGAAAATACAAAAGAGTGTTCAACGTATATAATGCAACAAACAGCAGACTTGAGGAAGTACGTGCAGCTAAATACAAGGTCTCCTACCACCATCAGTTACCAGCCCCAATCACTCTTAGCTGGTTGCCGTTATGGGACAGGGTTGGATGATACAGTACAAAAACCAGAACATAATCAAACGATTTATCTTTAGAGATCGTCTTACTTTGTGTACTAAAAATCTATATTTAGATAACATTATCCGCGACAATACAAATGCACATATGCAATGGCATTTATGCTGTGGAAATACCATTTATTCTGAAATAATATGATTCTTTGTATGCAACCTATAAAGATAAGAAGGACTATAGAGACTATAAGAAGGACTATAGAAACAGCTGCTTAAATGGGAATTGTGTCATATTAACCCTTCATACATGGGTAATTGTTCCCAACTAAGGAACATACATGACTTGTTTGAGTGGCATTTTAGAAGTTGAGACGTACAATATATAACAAGTTTTATGGATAACAACTTCTTTATTTTCGTGAGTGCGACGTTTCGATACAGATTCTTGTACCGTTGTCAAGCAAGACTTGTTATATATTGGAACATACATGGGTAATTGTTCCCAACTAAGGAACATACATGGAATGCGCCACTCATGCCATTACAAATAATCAATAATTGCTTATTCAAGTATTTCGTGGATTTTCCGAAATTCTGTGAAAGCGATATGAAGAACTCTTCAGTGGTCACGCCCGCGAGGAATCATACAACTTAACGTCAACGATTATTTTGTACTTGTCTCCATAATGTTTTTATTTATTGATTATATCATTATCGATCTAGTATGTGTCTTCACCAGAGCTCGACACAGAGAGTTCATTATCATCTTATTTCACCTATAATTGACGTTGATTTATTACTCATTATTTATGTGTATTGATCCCATTGTTAAAATGTCAAATTAGCACAGAATATAGACCATAGTTGGGATATAAGTCAGCAAGCATAACGACGTCGCAATTAATATTCAAATATAGAACTCGTTTCTCGTAGTATAGGTCAAACTATTTATTTGAGCAGATGTAACTTTCATGTAGTAGCGACATATTCCTATTTATAAGATCAAAGATCAAAGTTTTTCCTATTATGCTAATCGTCTATACTGTCTATAGCTGCGCCCCCTGGACCATCAACACGCTGTTTGTATTTAGACTGAAGTCACAATTAGTGATCATGTGTGAAAAACAATCACAAATAGTGTGAGGATTCTGACAGCACAATCTAATATCATCCAATAATGAGATAAACTATTCAATATAGAGTGGTAGCTATCCCTTGACAGGCGGAGATAGGGATGGGAAGCATGAGTGATGTTCCGGATAAATACTACGAAATGGCCACCACAGTTGGTGGTGGCAATAATCAGATCATGTGTGGGCATACATCAGCACCAGATTTAGATTAACGTTATTGCAAATATACGGTGGTCCGGAACCACTTATCAGCGCTCAACGCTGGAAGCCCGGTAAATGTTGACGCGATTAAAAACAAATACGCATCCATTGGTTCTGTGCACGAGATGAAAGGATAATTGACATTTGTAAGGTCAAAACCTTGCAAAGCACATGAAACATTGCACATGTCTCATGTACTTCTAGGTACTGAGAATTATTAGAAACAACTTGCCGGATTGAGTGGATCCTGACAAATAGTACATTGACAATACAACGTTGTCTCATTTGGGAAGGTATCTTGGAAACACACGTACGTTATGTACGTACATCATCTTGGAAACACACGTACTTTATGTACGTACATTATCTTGGAAACACACGTACTTTATGTACGTACATCATCTTGGAAACACACGTACTTTGTGTACGTACATTATCTTGGAAACACACGTACGTTATGTACGTACATCATCTTGGAAACACACGTACGTTATGTACGTACATCATCTTGGAAACACACGTACTTTATGTACGTACATTATCTTGGAAACACACGTACGTTATGTACGTACATTATCTTGGAAACACACGTACTTTATGTATGTACATTATCTTGGAAACACACGTACGTTATGTACGTACATTATCTTGGAAACACACGTACTTTATGTACGTACATCATCTTGGAAACACACGTACGTTATGTACGTACATTACCTTCGAAACACACGTACTTTATGTACGTACATCATCTTGGAAACACACGTACGTTATGTACGTACATTATCTTGGAAACACACGTACTTTATGTACGTACATTATCTTGGAAACACACGTACTTTATGTACGTACATTATCTTGGTATACACTGATTTTGTCACCCTGACCCGTGTTTAAATGTCACACCGACATTGGATTAAATGAGTGCCATTTCGGGTGTCATGTTCTGGCATGTAAGGTTTAATAGTGTTGGCTATCCTGGGATTAACACATAAATATTTCTGTTGAGCGGATTTGCTGAAGAATGTCATGCCGTTATATATTTACAGATGTGAAATCAAGAGAAACAAACTTGTGAAAACGGCAAGGGAAACGCCATTTAATTTCAGTAGCAACCCACCTCAAGGAATCATAAATATTTACTTACACGTGTAATGAAGAATTCTCAACAAAGAGGAAAACATTAGAATTCTGGTGATGCTTCAACTTGCTCAGGTAAACATTCCACCTACAATCCTTTCAAGTTGCCAAACTGCCCGTCTGTATGGAGTTCCACCCTCCAGCTTGCTCCAGGAGTGTGTAAACTGAGGGTTGAAGGTGCACGCCAGTGTATCCAGACTAGTCACACCATGGCAGGTACACCAGGTGGTATTCCCAAACAACACTTGTACGCAAACATAAATCTTTGCGTATGATACTCTTCAAATATAACATTATAAAAGTTACTATACGAACGCTACATGTGTTGAACTAATCTATTGCCGGAAATGACTTTTATAAACATAGAAACCATTTGTACCTACGATATTTTAATTCACAGTTACTTCTTACAACAAAATATTAATATTGACGTATGAGGGAAAACGTAAAGTATAAATCCAACTGTGAAAAGAACTGCTAAGGCTAGCCAACTGGATTGATGTATGCCAGTATATTCTCGTTAAACATGTAATCAGAGAGTTTAAAACTGGCTTTTAAAATGATGATGAGTATTTCTGCCACTCACGCTGAGAAATGTTATGATTCCATCATATATAATATGAGATATATTTGTTTTCTTTTCTTTTCACAGTCAAGCTTTCTTTTTTATCAGAGAGCTGTTTTATGCGTACATAAATGCACACACACTGCCCCTTCTCCATTACGAATACTCGACTGTGTCTGTCAGCCAGGGCACAGACAAACATTAAAGGAAAGGTCCAGCATGTTGTGACACACATCGCTGTTGTGAGTCCTTAGGCCCGTCTATGACGCCTTGCTCTATATGACCAGAGATGAGTATTACCTGATCTCATAACCCGCCCATGTAGTGGATAAAGTGTATGGATCTCTCGGCTACATTTATACAAGACGAAACTGCTGAACTTTATCCCCAAAGACACGGCATTGTTCAAGACGAACATCAACACTGGCTTGCCAGCGAAAACAGGCAGAATTAAAATGTAACAACCAATGAACAGATGCATTCTGAATCTGCTTGTATACAATACACGTTGTATAATTCCTGTGCTTGTCACGTTATACCTCTTAAAATCGATGCCGCGCTGAGATCCGTTACGTGAACTATACTCATGCCAATGCAGTGTGCGAGAAAAACAAATAATTGTTCATGTCATGTAAAATCGATTTCTTCATTCGATGCGCAATTGCTACCTGTTCTAAGGAACCCACACGCTCCTAGGCTCGCATACTATCTAATCAAGTCTCTGCACATCTTCCAAGTGCTGATAATAGCAGAGCGTTATGAGGTTGCAGAGAAGTGCACCTACTGGTCGTCAATACTGGAGCAGTGTACAGCTGTCTCAACACACGCACGAAGCAGCCGTACATCTGAGGCGTTGGCCACATCGGTTAAAGGTAGGATTAGGGCCAGTTTCGCTCGCTTAGGTGGTAACTATATACATGGAACTTTAAACGATCCTTTGTCTTACAGTGTGTTGTTTTATATCTCATTCCGATGCCCTTAAACTGGAGTCGTGAATCTGTTAATTACGGCAAATAATCGATGACTGTCTGGTTTCTATGCTATGCTGATTATGAGCAACATTACAAACATTACAATTTTAGCAAAATCCTTTGAAATTCACAATACTCTTTGTCTTATATGTACATTTTCTAATATTAGTATATTCACAAACGTATGTTTTCTATATTGATAACGCACAAAGACCCAAGTTGTCGTAGTGTTGTTATGGTGGTCAATGGCCCAGCTACAATGTCAAGATGTAGCGTCTTAACCAATATACTATCATTTTACTCGTTGAAGGACAATGCGGTATCTGTCTGGGTAATTTACGGATAATATGGTATCTGTCTGGTTAATTTACGGATATACAAAGTGTCTGTCTGGGTAATTTACGAATAATATGGTATCTGTCTGGTTAATTTACGGATATACAAAGTGTCCGTCTGGGTAATTTACGGATATATAAAGCGTCCGTCTGGGTAATTTACGGATATACAAAGTGTCCGTCTGGGTAATTTACGGATATATAAAGCGTCCGTCTGGGTAATTTACAGATATACAAAGTGTCCGTCTGCGTACTGTACGGATATACAAAGTGTCCGTCTGGGTAATTTACCAATAAATACGGAAAGGCCAAAGAGCTAGTACATACCGTGTTCACAAACATGGTATCGCTCACGTCTGTCGGATGTCAATTCAAAATTGACATCTGCTATAAATTAATCGGGTAACTCTTTTAAAAAATAGAGAAATGCATTTTATAAACGCCGAATTCAAACCATGCAGTTTGCCTGTTTAACTTAAACAAGCATTGTACAGCGAGAACAAATATTTGCAGCACGTATTTAATGGAATTCAATGAAGCTAGTAACAACACGGGAAGCAAATCAGAACTGACCGAGATGTGTGAAGCAGATTACGATATGTGAAGAAGATCAGAATGTAATGCATGTGTGAAGCAGATTACGATATGTGAAGAAGATACGAATGTAATGCATTGTGTGAAGCAGATTACGATATGTGAAGAAGATCAGAATGTAATGCATTGTGTGAAGCAGATTACGACATGTGAAGAAGATCCGAATGTAATGCATTGTGTGAAGCAACTTACGATATGTGAAGAAGATCAGAATGTAATGCAATGTGTGAAGCAGATTACGATATGTGAAGAAGATCAGAATGTAATGCATTGTGTGAAGCAGATTACGACATGTGAAGAAGATCAGAATGTAATACAATGTGTGAAGCAGATTACGATATGTGAAGAAGATCAGAATGTAATGCAATGTGTGAAGCAGGTTACGACATGTGAAGAAGATCAGAATGTAATACAATGTGTGAAGCAGATTACGACATGTGAAGAAGATCAGAATGTAATACAATGTGTGAAGCAGATTACGACATGTGAAGAAGATCCGAATGTAATGCAATGTGTGAAGCAACTTACGATATGTGAAGAAGATCAGAATGTAATGCAATGTGTGAAGCAACTTACGATATGTGAAGATCAGAATTGAATGTAATACAATGTGTGGAGCAAATTATGATTGTGAAGAAGATCAGAATGTAATACAATGTGTGAAGCAGATTACGATATGTGAAGAAGATCAGAATGTAATACAATGTGTGAAGCAGATTACGATATGTGAAGAAGATCAGAATGTAATACAATGTGTGAAGCAGATTACGATATGTGAAGAAGATCAGAATGTAATACAATGTGTGAAGCAGATTACGATATGTGAAGAAGATCAGAATGTAATGCAATATGTGAAGCAGATTACGATATGTGAAGAAGATCAGAATGTAACCTGAGAGAGGTCAGGAAGACAAATCAGGCCAATGGCAGCACAGTAACGTTATGATGCCTGTATGTGATGACACCTGCAGCACATGCATGGACATTATCCTGCTGCAACCAGATGTTACGTCTCCACATTTTGTCAAAGGGATGAACATGATCTAAAACGATGCCGTAATAATTTATGAAACTTATGAATTGTGTTATCTTGTGCTTTGTGATACCTCCCCATACTATTCCATTTCCAGTCCCAAACTGACCATCAGAGCTAACCAGAGGAACCCCAAAGTATTTTCCCATCCTTGTCTTGTGAACCTCAGATGCTGTCTACACCACGCTGGGCGAGCCGACCTTGGCAGAACACTGGGCGTATCCCTGGACGTCTTGACCAGATGGTGTGCCCCCTAGGAATTGTGCGAACAGTCAATATGGCATTTGGTATGGATACCCTTGATATGACGTCACAGGTGGACTTCCGGTCTATGACAAGTCAAGAGTGTTTCCCTGCAGCTTTTAACAACTATGATATTCGATGAACATTACAATATTTGGCAACTTCAGTTTGCGCCATTCCTGTTAGCAGCTAGACTAAGGCTTAGTCTCTGAATATATATAATTTTGATAGTAACAAAAAAGCCCATTTATATTGAAAAGGAGCCCTAGGGAGACCAGAGATTCAGACCTCAACCTGAGTAAATCTAGACTTGCTTTATTTATGGCTTTAGCACTGCAGAGAGGGCTTGGCAGTAAGGAAATTAATGTGGTTCAGGGACTTGAGACAGACTAGTTAGCAGCGTACACACGCTGGGCAGATGCTCCCCGTGGGACTGGGTCAGTTTGGCAGGATGCGCTCACCTTTTCTGCGAACACTTGGTACTATCATTCTTTAATAATGCTTCACAAACACATGCTCATGATATGGTTGGACTTGTAACTCAATTAATATGCTTGTAGCAGAGATTTCGTATAGACGGAGAAAGGGGTCTCTTATTTACGGTTCTACAAAAGTGTATTCGTGAGCAGATGATTTCAGATAATACATTTATATATGGCGGACATGATTGTCATTCTCCCAACAAACACGGAAACACCCAAACTGTCCGCCCGTGCTTTAAAATGCATGTTCAAATTGTGACTACGTTTAAGTCGAGATGTCTTACTAAATATGTTTTGAAGATTATTTACTTTCAGAATAAATAATGTATTGTTCTTTACGTGAAGCACCTTAACTGTTTTCATTTGGGACGCATATTGTTATCTACCGAGTACAGGAATCATTTTCACCTGTATAAACGACGCATTGGAAAGTTATTAAGTTATACAGTTATTAAGTACAGATATATTTTGTTGTCCTCTTGGGGCTCACAATGTCGCCCATCAACGGTTGAGGTTGCTTATTAGCTACATAGCCCCGGAAATCCCAAACGAATGAACACAGCCTTCAAAGAAAGCTAATGTGTTGTTTCACAGAACGTTGAACAAATGCATTATTCATGCTGTTGAGAACTTGGCTCCAACACCGCGCCACCACCTGCATGTTTTGTCATGTTTTGGGTAACGTGAATCGTTGTGCCCGTGTCCATATATAATCGTGATTTTCTTGAATTCTCACGTTGCTTATTTTCACCAACAGTATAAAGCATATTTTAATTAGTCGATTATAATCGGTCTAATCGTCAGACTCGTCAGCCAGAACTGGTAGACTGAGAGTCATGACCTCCCAGCAAGATGACCATAACCTGCGTTAAGGCATGTGGTGAGACGGTGATGAGACGGATGCATGCGGGCGGAGCACATCATGAACCCGTCAACATCGTGTTTAAAAACACCACAACGTAAATATGTTGAACCCGTCAACATCGACTGAATCGTCTCAGTTGGTCAAGGAATGCGAGGTGTTGGCAACGGCGCGATT